CGGCCAGGTGGACACACAGAAAGCGAGGCAGCCTCTGGAATCTGAGTTCAGATCCCCTCTATAGGGAGCCCAGGCCATTGGATGGGGTTTGCCAGCTGCCTCGGCCAGGGGCACTAAGGACGAAACACAAAAGGCACTGGCTTATCGCAGCGCCGCTCGGCCCGAAACACCGACCCGGGAGCCCTCCGTGCTCACCTGAGCGCTCCGGCCGCCGTCTCCCTCACCGCCAGGCTGGGGTCCAGCAGCAGCGGCCCGAGGCGGCGCACTGCATCGCGCCGCGCCAGGTCGGGGAGTGCGGGACGCTGCTGCACCAGCCGGGCCAGCCCCGCGCAGGCGCACTCGCGGACCTCGGCGCTCGGGTGCTGGAGCTGGGGACAGGAGCAGTGTCAGAAGGCGAGCAGCACGCAGGCGCGCAGGGGGTCCGCCGCAGGCACGGGGGCCCCTCGCCCCGCCCCGTCCCTCCGGGCATGCGAGGCCCGGTCTCTCACCTTTTCTAGCAGCTCCGCCGCTGGCCCGTCATCGTCTTCCTGTTCAGTCCCGTTCTCCTCCGCTGCCAACTCGGCCTGACTGCCGCCCGTAGGGGAGAATTGAGGTCTCTTGAAGCGCTTCGTCCTGCTCTTGCCCATGGCAACGTGCGCTGGGGGAAGACTGAGCGAGGAGGGCGACAGCAAGACCGTGGTGGCTGCCCAGCCAGCAGCAGAGTCTGGCCGAGGGGGAGCGTCCGTGCGGCTGCTCAGCTGGCCCGGCAGACCGCCGAGCCGCGTGGGAAGCAGTGCGCAGGCGCTAGCGGGGCTTGGAGGGAGGAGCGCGCAGGCGTAGAGAGAGTGGGCGGGGCCAGACCTGGCTGAGGGGCGGAGTCGCGTGGAATTTCCCGAGGAGGAGGAGACTAGATTTGAATAGTAATAGGAATTGCACCTCCCACCAGCGGGTAAAGTTTATCTAGTTACTTAACCTTGCCAGACCTTTACTTTCCATAATAGTCAAATGGGATTAAGGTTACCTAACTTGCAAGGTTATTCTGCGGCTTAAATAAAATTATGTAAAACACCTAACACCAAGCCTGACATAGAGTAGGTGCTCAAAAGTGTTAACCACGATTTTATTTTGGGTCCTTGGTGCTTAGCACGACTCCTGTCATAGACAGAGGCCAGTTAATGTTTCAGAATGGGCTCCCTTAAGAAGTTACATAATCTTGCTTCAGTTTTCTCATCAATGAAATGGGCACATTAATCAAATATACCCAATACCATTGTTAAAGGACTAAACGTTTAAGTGTTTAAGATGCTGAGAACAGAGACTGGCACATAATAAGCACTACATAAATGGTTGAAACTTTTACAGTCAATGAAAAGATTCACCAATACTTACTGAGCACCAGGTGCAGTGCTGGGCATTGGGATAAAATAATAACGAAGACAGATTTGGTCCCTGTCCTTTTTGTCTTTGTCCTCACAGAGTTTATAGTTCAGCGAGGATGTGTTAAATGCACAGTAATTATATGAATAACTGATTAGAGTTGTGGTAGTGCTAAGAATGAAGGAAAGGTACAGGAGAATTTTAGGTAGTCTTTGTAACTGCAGGTATGTATGGAACATTCAATAAATGCTTAGCTATCAGGGCAACACTGGATGGGGAAAAGTTCACCGCAAGTCAACCTGCCATCAAGCAGCTAGCTGACTGCCTAGTACGGGAAATGACATTAATTACTACAGCATATTTTGAAAAACAATCACAGGGGTGTCGCTAAACTTGCACAGAAGCTCAAGCCTACTCAAGACCTACTTTGGGTACAAAACTTGGAGCCCCAAATATATGTTGGCAGGTTTTACTTGCTCGATCTCTTATCTGGCCTGTCATCGGCCACCTCCCTAGCCCGTGTCTTCTCTGGTCCCCAAGTGGCCTTCTGGTCTCTCTTTGTCTACCCTATCCATGGGGCAGCTAGTTATTTTTTTCAAAATGAATGTCCCTCCAATTTCTGCATTGTTTTGATTCCCTTTGCTTAAAACCTTTCAGTGACTTTCCCTTTCCTTAAGATAAAGGTCAGAATCTCAGCAGGCCACAGGGTCTCCTCCAGGCCTGCAGCTTCAGCTCACCTCTGCCTGTCGCCGCCCTCCAGAGGGCGTGTCTGCCTCTGGCTCTAGATAAGCCCCAGTCCCCACCCCTGTCCTGGTGAAGGCGGAGGCTCACTTCTGCAAGCTTCGCTTCTTCATGCCTTTCCTAGATTTTGAAGTCGGATACAGACCTTCCTCCAGAGAGCATGTCCTGTTTCCTTGCTTTGAAGCACAGCTCCCAATGACAGTTACGGCTGGCCTGCATCCATGTAGTTATACACAGTGTTCGTCCCGTCTGTTCGCTCCCTGCGCTGACACTAAGCCCTGTGAGCCTGGACTGTGCCGTTCTCACGTCGCTGTGTTCCCAACCCCGGCCCAAACAGGCCACAGTTTCTCTGGCGACTAGAGATCACATGATGCGGAGAGAGTAGGGCATGGAATCCAGACAGAACAGGATGAAAGAAAAACAGATTCCTGCTCTTTCTCTACCCGTAAGGATGAGGATGAAAAATACCGTTCAAAACCTTAGCTAGGGGAGAATTTTGTGCTTTTCATGAGTTACCCTTTCCTGTAAAAAGTAACATTTCTGCAAAAATGATGAACTTTATTAAGAGCTCTTCCTGGGACCACCTCTTTTTAAAACTTATTACTATTTTTTTCACATTCTTTTACTGTTGTTCAAGTACAGTTGTCTCCATTTCCCCCCACCACTCCCTCCCACCCCAGCCATTAAGATGTCAGTCTTAGGAGGAGCCCAATGACCCCAATGACCTTTTAACAATCTAATAATAATCTTTAACCAGTCATTTTTTAAAATCCTCTCAAGCAATGATTATCTAACCACCCCTTTGTCCTACAAATTGTCTTTATCAAGAGGGAATTTTTGCAGAGCAAACCATCAGTCATATGCTAAAAATTTGGTTTTTAAAAATGTTTGTTCCGTGACCCAGACAAGATGCAGTTCCTATTTTTAGTGGAAAAAGAAGGGGAAAGGTAGAAATTACACTTACTCAAAGTGAAAGCATTCGGAAAGCGTGTCTGAAGGAACGGATGAGACTCCCATTTCTATGGTTTCAACAGGAAGTAAGAGTGGCCTCTGAAGGCAGAGACTGGCTGGGCTCCTCCTTAACCCCAGTCAAGAGTCAGGATACAGAGCCCCTCCGAGCAGCGCACCCGCCCTCGGGCTTTCAGGGAGGGTGTCTGAGAACAGGAAGACACCTAGAACCACTTGAGATCGTTCCTCTTGGCACTTAAACCACTGTTTAAAAGTTTGCTTAGTTCCAAAGATACGCAGAATTTCCTCCTGGTTATTCCAACGAAGAGGTTGACATTGGGTAAGGGTGTAACGGTGAGGTCCATTATTTAACTGTTAGCGTTTGGTTTAATAGATTTACTGAGCAGTGATTCTGTGGCCAAGCACTTTACCTGAATTAACATTTAATACTCAATATAAACCTGGAGCACTGACAAATCCCATACAGGGTGGGGCAAAAGTAGGTTTACAGTTGTTTGCATGGAAAATAACCCAGTAATAAATTGTAATACAAGAATAGTGTTCTGTGTACAATGGTAAACCTCCTTCTGCCCACTCTCTCTCTATATATTATCTACCTAGGAGATTATCCTTATGTCCAATTTACAAATGAGGAACCTAAGGTTATGGACCTGACCTCGTTGCAAGTAGCAGATCTCAGATTCAAAAGCAGTCTGGCGTAGTCTCCATCCCTGACCACATTACAACAGCTCAAGAGTTAAATCCAACACACACACCTTTCCCAGCTGAGCCCAGAGACTGGGGTTCCGGTCTGGTTCGGTCTTTAACCGGTCACGGGGGCCGAAAGTCCCTTTGAAAGCCTGGGACTGGCTGGCCCGCTTGTGAAACTACAGGCCTGGAGTCAGTCAGTCATTTCCTGACAGTGCGTGGGAGTAGGTATGACAGGGCGAGGTGGGTGGGGAGGAGAGGCTACCTTGGCACTGATCCTTGGGCGTATTTCAAACAGAGCAAAGATTTTCTTGGAAAATGGATTGTTCTGCTAAGAGAAAAGGTATGAAAAACCTTTCACAAACATTTTTCTTGGAACCGAGGCACTCCGAATAGTCTGGCACCAGGACATCTGTGAAATCCTTTCCAAGTGTATGCTAAGTATGGGTGTGTTTTTCCAGGGGAGAAGAGCTTTAAAATGCTCCATGTAATTGAGCAGCTGACAACTCCCAAAAGGTCTGGGGCCCATCACATCCACCGTCCGCTTTACACACTTAGAGGAAGCTGGCAATGCAACTTAGTAAAGCACTTCCAGGAAACCTGCATTTCTTCCTTTCTTTTTTTTTAAATATTTTATTTATTTCTAGACAGAGGGGAAGAGAGAAAAGAGGGAAACATCAATGCATGGTTGCCTCTTGCACGCCCCCTACTGGGGACCTGACCTGCAACCCAGGCATGTGCCCTGACTGGGAATCGAACTGGTGACCCTTTGGTTCGCAGCCTGCGCTCAATCCACTGACCCACACCAGCTAGGGCAGAAAACCTGCATTTCTTGATTAGGAGTCGAATGTTATTAAACAGCGAGGAACAAGACGTGGTCCAAGTTAGAGCCTAAGGAACCGGGGATGTGCGGGCGCTGCTAGGAGCGTGCTCTCCTGGGCGGTTAAAGCAGAACATCCTACCTGGAGCTGGCCTGTATCTGAGACACGCTGTGTGTCTGCACATGTTTTCGGAGTTACAGACACCATAAAGCAAGGAGGCCCTGACGGGTGTGGGCCGATGGGTTGGGCGTCACCCTACAAACCAAAAAGTCGCCGGTTTGATTCCCAGTCAGGGCACATGCCTGGGTTGCAGGTCAGGTTCCTGAGAGGCAACCCATCGATGTTTCTCTCTCTTTTTTCTTCCCTTCCCCTCTAAAAATAAATAAATCTTTCTATAAAAATTAAAAAAAAATAGGAAAAGCTCAATCACTAATTATATATAAAGTATTTATTTTATGCACATATTTACCTACAAAATTTACAGAAAATAAAACAACACAGAATATATAGAATACCCTCTTAAGACTTCTTAGGAGCAGAGGGTTTTATTGCTACAGTTCAAAGAATAAAATTTTATACACGTGAAAGCCAAGATGAACATGGTAGCCTAGTTAAAAAGTTTTTGTCCTGTTATTGAATTTTCAGCCTCATGTCAAATGAAATTTAAAAGATCGCTCTTGAAGTAATTTAAACGTTTTCAAAATCTTCTAATAAACAGGTAAAAGGCACCTCCAGTTCTTTAAAATACTCATCGCAATCCCAATAGTTTAAATCTGAGGGCCACTGGCGTGCGCGTGCCTAACACGCACGAGCGGCACGTCAGCCACACGCCCCGAACGGTGAGGGCGGCAGACTGGCTCTCGGCACCACCCCACTCCCCGCGACAGGGCGCAGGGCCGGCACACGGCGCAGCACCAGTGCGACAGCCCACTGGCCACAGCGCAGAATCCAACGGTCTAAAACAGGGACTACCTAATTCCCAGACAGTACGTAATTTATAACTAACCGGTATATTCAGAAGCCTCTGGAGTGTTCTTAAAAGTATTAAAAAAATAGGAAGTCAATTTAGCATTAAATGAGAACAATGAACAGGAAAATATCACAAAGTGGCTGAAGTTCACCGTCTGGTTCAACAGAAACTGTTCCTCACACACCTCTAGCTTCCACAACACCATGAAATGACGGGTGTCCTCAGCCTCGGCTCAGCTCCCGCTGCGGCTCCCGCACCATGACCGTGACCGCAGGCGGGGAGGGCGGGCGGAAGGCACGGCCACCGTGTGCAGCCGGCTGGTGGCGAAGGGCGGGGGGGTGGCGAGCCGGATCGCTCGCAACACTGGTGCAGGAGGACCGAGTCCACACGCGCGTTCCTCTTTGACACGGGCACTGGTCTGCTATTGACAGTAGTTTGCAAAAATACATTATAAAACTGCTGAGGTTCTGGTTCTAGGTTTCACTGAGTAACACACACACACGCACTTCATCCCCGACAGGCTCTGCGGGGTCTGAAGCACTAAAGTGACACTAACACTGACATTCGGGCGACCCGAGGCCCCGACGCACGGGCACTGCGGCGTCAGCACCAGGCCACCTGGGGGATATTGCACGCTTCTTGTCAGCTGCTGCGGTGCCCGCCACGCGCCGCTCCAAGCTCAGGCCGCCGCGCGCCCGCGACGACCGCCGCCGACTGTCACTGGACGTGAGGCCGAGGCTTCAGGATCAGCTTTCCCGTCTGAAAGTAAAAAATGAGAGTTTTTAAACACGGTTCGATGAGCAACACCACCATTTATCTATGACCTTAGAGGGCACGCACAGGGGGTCAGAACGCCTCTCGCGTTTACTCCAAGTCAAGCACTCAGCAGTTACATTTTCGGAGTTTTCCCTGTGTGGGGTGTTCTTCCGGAGCCTCTTCACGTCGACACCACACCGGCTGCCTCACGGTCGGCCAGCCGGCCCACTGGGCCGTAAACCCAGCCTGCAGACACTAACTCCGGCTCCTTGGCAGACGACGAGCATAAGACAAGAGTAAAACTGTGTATCTGGCAAAAACGTTTCTGCTTCTCCAACAGCAGTTTCAGCTTCCTCGAGTGCAGTGTTAGCCGGGGGCCGCAACCCCAGACCCGTCGCTGCCGGTGCTCGGTGGGCGCGGGCGCAACTCTCCCGCAGCGCCGGCCGTCATGTTCGTTAGAAAAAAACACACCACACAAGCCACACAATTCCACTTGCAGGACTTTATCTCAAGAAAACTAAATGTGAGTGTAAAGACATACATGGAAGGCTCGGGTGTCTAATTTTAGGACTGTGTAAAGGAGCTGAAGTTACATTCGGCCCTTTGAAGGCAAGCTTGAGGCCGATGTGGTCCCTGGTGACACTGCGTGTGACACCTGGGTGTGTTACTGATGCCTACCGTGTGCCGGGCCTTGTGCGAATGCCGGAGACCCAGTGAGGAACCCGGTCCCTCGCCCCGTGGAGTTAGGTTCTGGCAGAGGACACACGGCTCACGTTTACACGGAACGTGCGAAACCGCGTGCCCAACAGGGTCTAAACTGTGACGCAGCCACGACATGGGACACTATGTAACTGACAAATGGAGGGCCCACCTGAGACACTGCAGGTGAAAAGGTGTAAGTCTCAGACCTTGCACGTGATTAATAAGTGGTGGCTCTTGCATCATAATGTTGTCAAAACTCCGAAACACATTTTCTGTTGTAGAAAGATGGAATACATAACAAAATATAAAGCCCGGTGATTATCTTTGGTTGATAAAGTTCTAGGTGGTTTTAATGAACAAATTTTATTACTACCCTCAGGTCAAAAGTGTTGTCAGGATTCCAGTTATCTCTGGATTCTCACTTCCACTTAATTTTTGGCCATTTAGTTTCTGGTAATCCCTTGGCATCCGGATAAAACACTGGCGCTGACTCCCGCGCTGCCTCACCGCAGTGAATTTACAGACAGCGAGATGCCCCAGTCCCGGTGCAGGGCCCCGGGCTCTGACGCCTGTGCGCGCCGTGCAGCCGCCACGCACACCCAGGCCGCTTCCCCACGCGCCCCCCCGCCCGCCCGCCCTGCGGTGCACCCTGCGGGGCCCTGTGCCTCAGTGGCCTCGGGCCGCACTCTCCTGCACCCACGGCCTCTGGAGCGTCGCCGGTGCCGCTGGGCCCCCGATGTCCTGCCTTTCACAGGACACACTTGGTGCTCCGCTGCACGAACACACCCCCAGGTCTGTTCGTCCACGGGTGTGATCTGTTCTACCTCCATCAGAAGCGACACGAGCCAGGCGCTTCTGTGACCTCATCACAGCACACCCAAACAGCGGCCTGGCACCTGCCGCACACTGCAGCCCTCTCACAGAACCAGCCAGTTTCCGCACGAACTGCCCCAGACTGTTGTTTATGGGGCACACCCACACGTGTAAAGGGTAAGGATGCTGTTTCGAACACGCTGAAATGTCTGACGGTAACATACATCACTCGGAAAGTTTCAGAGCTGCCCACCGCGGGGAGGCGGGCAGGGGCACAAAGCACACAATGGCCATGCACTAACTGTTGGCGCTGGTCCGGGCTATTGGAGTTCACTATTGGGGGTTCACTATACTCTCTCTGCTGTTTTACGTTTGGGAATTTTCGTAATTAAGTTTTTGAAACACGGTACCACACTGGGCATGCTATCTGGGGATTCACTGTTCACACCCAACGCCCACACCCCCAGGGAGAACCCGCGGGCTCCCGCAGTGGAACCAGGGCACAGCCCCTTCTGCCAGGGCCCGGTGGGGAGACACAGCGTGCTTTTGGGAGGCCACTCCCACGAAAGACGCTGCAGTAACGACTCTGCACTCACCTCCTGTACATTCCCGGACTGGGCACCGAACCCACAACCCGGGTATGTGTCCTGACTGGGAATCGAACCTGCAACCTTTTGGGGGGGGGGGGGGTGAAGGCAGGGGAGGGGCGAAGGTGGGGGAGGGGCAACCACAACGCTCCCACCAACTGAGCCACCTGGCAAGGGTGTGGATGTCTTTCTAAATATTTTTAAGACTTTAGTTGGAATTTCATGTTTTTAACTGATGTGAGGCAGAGATAAAAACTCTTCTTCCAAATCTGGCCCTGACCAGCGTGGCTCACTTGGTTGGGTATCCTCCCATAAAGCAAAAGGTTGCTGGTTCAAGTCTCAGTCAGGGCACGTGCCTGGGTTTCGGGTTCAGTCCTCAGTTGGGGCGTGTATGAGAGGCAGCCAATCGCATCGATGTTTCTCTCCTTCTCTTTCTCCCTCCTGCCCCTCCTCTCTGAAAAATAAGTACTTTTTAAAAATTTATTTTTTCCAAAGAGCCAACTGTCGCAACACTACTAAGTAGCTTATTTCTTTCCTTTTGGCCGAAACACCATCCTTATCCTCTGCTTTTTAAAAGATCAAACTGCTTTGTCTTTACTCTCTTCCACTGACCCAGCTGTCTTTCTGCCCTGATACTTTTTCCCTCTTCATTCTGATTTCCTATACTGGGTAGGTTTTACTTGAGTAACAGTTTCTTAAACTGAAAGCAGAAACACTTTTAGAATACATTGATACAGCAGGTTCACGTGTCCATAGTCCGACAATTAATCTGGGACTCTCTTTAAGACCCTACATACAGAACACCACCAGGAAAATCATGGCAGTTGACAAAACCAACCACCGCCGAGCCGCCAGTAATGCCCACGGCGTCTCCTGAACCTCAGATGGCTTCCACCGTGAGGCGCGCCATGATTCTGTGGCGTGGAGAAAAATTAAACTGCCACGCTACCGATTTAGTTGGGAGACACCACTGATTGTGAGATGCACCTCTAGTTCGGAGACGTTAAAACACAGACAGAAGTGTGTCTCAGAATCAGCGTGATGAGGAACACCCCCTGTCGGCTCCGTGGAGACGATCACTGTCAATAAAACGCCCGTCTCACGGAGGCCACGGCCGCTCAGTGCGTTCCCGCGCGCGCCCGCGGCTCCCCAAGGAAGAGGACACTCACGTCGTCACAGGACATGTTGTACTCCGCCAGCACGGTCCGGCACCGGGCGGCTATGCTGGGCGCACGCGGTCAAGGAAACCTGCCGTTTCAGGAGCGCGCGCTCGGCCCCGCCCAGCTCGCTGAGCCGGCGCCTCCACCGCGCCCAGAGAGCACCCCGTGTGAAGGATACATCGACGGGGCCACGACCCTCTTGTGTATGCCGGCGAAGAACAGGCCTATCAGGGTGATGCAGCTGATGGTGAAGAACGGGTGGTTCCACAGCGACGTGAGGAAGGACACCTGCGAGAGAGAGCGCAGCGCAGAGACGTCAGACCCTCGGGGCGACACGAACCCCTACCTCCCACTCCCACACACGCGTCTGTAGCGTGTTACCCACCCACGACACGAGCATTTGAAGACTTCATACTCCTATCTCTCTGCTCTGCAGTATGTTATGTTCGTTCTGTATCTTCCGAGTAGCAAAACCACGCAGCAGTGTTGCCTCCATTCATCCCAAACACCTGACCCACTACTAATTCATCCCCGTAGTCAAAACCCACCCTTCCGAAGACACTCTCGGGGCCCCTCCCAGAGGGCCGCAGTTCGGAAGCACGAGGCTCAGGCTCCCCGACAGCAGGGACACTGTCCCATGCACGGCCTTCCCCAGCCCCCGAAAGAGCACGCGGCAAACTCGGGTGCTCCTAAGCACTGCTAATGACCACGAGGCCTCTGCTCTCCACGAAAACGCAGGTCAAACGTGGCCTGGTTGCCTTCTGTTGAAAAGCTCCCGAGCGAGAGCTGGGCCAGCCCTGCCATGCACAGCCCGGCCCCACTGTCATTCCCTGCCACACCGGCACATGCGCTGTCACAGTCCTCCTCCCCCCACCCCCACCCCCGGCTACTCCCCGCACATCCTTGCGAGGCTCAACTCCAGCATCGCCCTCCCTCTCGCAGAAGCAATGATGATTCTGGTGCGGGAGCTGCTGAGACTTAGAGGGCCACAGGGCACGAGAGCAGGGAGAAAAGACTAGGAGCTGTCCGTACAGAAGTGGGGTTCAGGGGGAAGGGCGAATCCAGTCCGAGACAGCCGGGTGCCGGCAGGGAACAGGGGAGCACAGAACTAACACCGAGAGTCGGCAGAGGGACCGGCGTCCCGGGTCCAGCACGAGGGTCGGAACGAGAGTGGCACTGAGGCCAGACTGCCGGGGCACAGGAAGGCAGACGGGGGTCCAGAAGACACGTATCTGGAGTCTGGAGAAGAGTCCCAGCGGACTAGCAAGCAGGAGCGACAGACTCCGGCGGCCAAGGGCCCCCGCAGCCCCGTCGAGTTGGCACCCGTCTCAGGGCAGAGGGTGGCGGACGACAAGCACCTGCCGGACGGCCCAGCGTGGGCCCGGTCAGGTCAAGGAAACGTGTGCGGTGCAGCAGCCGGAGGCCAGGAGGGAGGAGCTCCCAGGGGGAGGAGGAGCTCCGGAGGAAAGATGAAGAATCTGGAGGCCCGGCTCCCGGAAACCTTTGAGGACAGCGTCACCGCCAAGGGCCGGCTCTCTCAGGTGGCCTGCCCAGCGCCAGCACGGACAGCCTCACGCTCTGATGCTCATCAGGCCGGCCGGCTGGCCGGCACCAGCCCGCTGTCCTCCATGGCACCCGCCGACGTCTGCCTGCCCCTGGCCCAGCGTCCAGGTGCTGGCCGTAGGCCGTCCCCCATCTCCTGGGGCGTTTCCAGCGAGCCACCTGCTCTGGAGCTCGCCTCTCCTGCTACAGACACGACTGCTACTTAAAACTCCCGTCAGGTTGGAGGTTATTAAATACTAAGACACAGAGCCAACCCTTAGGCTAACCGTTCCACTCTCACCTAATTTAGAAAACCACATTAACTACAGAGTTTTGAGCCTGTTTCAAATTACATTTAATTCTGTGTTTTATTAAGATCTCAACCAGCTGAAATCAGCTTCTATTTTTCCCAATTAGAAGTCAGGTTCATTTCCCCAGACAGGCCTTTTCCAGTCTCTGCGCCGGGCTCCTCCCCTCCCCGCGAAGACCAGCGCCCGCACTCAGGCTCTGACAAACGAGCACGCGGGAGAGCTTCCTACCCACTGGCCGCCAAACCCCTCTGCGAACGTGGGACCCCACCCCGACCTCCGCCACCACCGACAGGAGTCCTCCTCCCGGGGTCTCCTGCTGTGTGACCGGGAAGGTCATAGGGAAAGCCGCCGAGGGTGGTCTCACCCAACTGTGGCTCACAAGGGGGCGTGAGTGGGGTTCAGATCATGATGAAAACAGCATCACGATGACCCACATAAGCCTGCACTGTGGGAAGAGCTCCTCGGAGAAGCGGGGGACCGCGGCCTCCCCGATGAAGCAGCCCGGCTGCAGAGCGAAGGCCCAGCCAGCAGGCGGGGCGGGGGCAGGGGCAGGGGCAGGGGCAGCGGCAGCCCGCCTCGGAGGCTGCTCCGGGAAACAACACGAGCCCCACCCGTTACTGCGTTCGGCGCGGGGATACTCCGGACCGTGCCCAGTGGGAGATCTCTCACTGTTTCCTATATTAAACTGCAGGCAGGAAGGTTTTTTTAGAGGTTAACGCTGAGGAAATAAAAGCTTCTGAGCTTGAGAAACTCACACATATGTTCTCTTCAGAGACCACGCACACTGTGAGGCTGGCTGCGGCTTTACCGATCGGGCGGCTCAGACCTGAGCTGCAACTCAGTCCTGGTGACTATGCTGGCCCACGTGGCCGGCACCCTCAGGGACCCGGGTCCCTTCCCGGCTTTGACCCGCCAGGCGGATTGGTGTTCTCCTAGTCCTGACTTTTTATGACGTTTATATTTTGCTACTTTATCATACATGTTTCGTGCAAAGTCACCTCAAACACTTTGTGGGATGGGAAAGGCATCAACAACGAGAGCGCCCGGGAGAAAGTGTCGCTCGCTGATTTTTCTTTTCCCTTTTTTTTTTAAAGATTTTATTTATTTATTTATTTATTTAGAGAGGGAAGGGAGGGAGAAAGAGAGAGAGAGAAACATCAATGTGCGGTTGCTGGGGGCCGTGGCCTGCAACCCAGGCATGTGCCCTGACTGGGAATCGAACCTGCCATGCTTTGGTTCGCAGCCCGCGCTCAATCCACTGAGCTACACCAGCCGGGGCTGATTTTTCAAAGCAGACACCGAGGACACTAAGTGAACAAAGCGGATCCAGGACGACGCTCGCCCTGAAATGCACAGACAGGGACACGGGAGACGTGGAGGCGCTGCACACGAGTGCAGGCGTGAGAGACCAGTGGTGTGGGTGGAGCAGTGTTTCTTAGGCCTTTTCCCCTGTGAAGACACTTGTAATTCACAATAGCCAGCCCAAGTTTTTCTTGAGCAAATTAATGTAAGGCATACTTTTAACACAAGGAGTAATATCACTATTAGCAGTAACAGGTAGCAGCATCTGAATGGTGTTTTCCAGCGAACAAAGCATTGCTATAGCCAGTATCTCATTTAATCTATCAAAGACTTGAAATCAAAATCTCTACCTTTTGCGTCTCGGGGTCTATTAACCAGTTCCAGGCACCAGTAGCCGTACACACAGATACCACTATAAGAAGCACTGATGAAAGATAAACACAAAATTAGTAAGGAATAAGCTCTTAACATTTAACACTGCTACCAACAGTTACTAATAAATGACAGCCAAAAGAAGCGGTGCTTTATTAAACGGAAGACACACTCGGCCCGGGAGTTAGGGGACTTGCTGTGAACCTTGAGGAATTCTCCTAAAACTTGTGAGCCTCGGTAAGCGAGGGTAATACTGGTCCCTGCATTACTCAGTCAGAGCTTAGAAAGTTAGTGAAAGTAAAAGCAGTAAGAACCACGATGGTAAAACTTGAACAGTCTGTGTTAGCAACTTTCAGCGTGCTCTGTGCTGATTTTGCATTTTGTAAATTCAGATGTAAAAACCCCCCCAGCCTTCCGTTTTCTAACGTAAACAACTCAAACAAAGACCCCTTTATGAATGCCCTGAGCACTCTGACAGAAGGGTCTGCCTCGAAGACAGCAGACAGCTGCCGCGGTTCACCGAGACAGAGGTCAGTGCTGGGGGGAGGGCCTCAACGAAGGCCAGGAAGACATTACTGATAGTAAATCTCAGATACGGTTTCTCTCCTCCCCACTGAGCTAGAATTACTTTTAAAAGTTTTGAACACATTGGAAGTGAAACTTAAGAACAAATGGCTTTACTAAAAAATAATAAAAAGGCACCAGGACCAAGCTAACACTCTGATAAAGATGGCTGCTGTCTTTCGGTCGGGGCGCACACAGTTTTAAAACGCAGAGATCAAGCTTCAAAGAGCAACAGAATTATAGTAAAACCTTAATTATCTAGAATTCCTGGTGGTTTACCTTTAGAAGAGGCAAGTCACAGGCAAAAACAATCTCATTTTAGGAAGTTAATTTTAGGTATTTAAAATTTCAAAATTAAGTTCTCAGCTCAGAACAGATTAAATGCAACTTGCTGTAATTCTATATTTCCAGTAAGGAAAAAATACTATAGTACAAGTTTTTTTTTTTAAGTAAAGCAAAAGCTGAGACACTAGAGGGACCTCACACACCTACTTTTACACACACGCATGAGCCGTGCTGATGCCATTTACACGGAAGCCTGAGGCCACCAACCAGGAAAAGTGAAGAAGGATCAATACACATCACACTTTATATGATGGGACAGCAACATACACATTTTAAAAGATTCTCAAGTAGCAGTGAAACAAGTGGAGTCATTCTGGGTAAACCAGAGAGCCTGAGAAAATCACTACTCGGGAACTCTGGCCAATCAGAGTGCTCATAGCATATGATTCAAACTTTGCAGACAGATCTAATAAAACTACAGGAGAAATCTCAACATAAAAAGACCCCTAACTTCCCTAACAGTCTTTTGGCCCCACAAGCTGAGTTGCACTTGAAATAAAGTCTGTCCCTGGTACGTGCTGCTGTACTTTTCTCGGCAAGATTTAGTTTCAATAAACATCCAAGAAATTAAGACTGGGCTCAATAAAAGTTATCAAAGCATTCTGTTTGCTGATGTCATACTTTAAATCAACTAAGAGCCTTCATAACCTTTGAAAGTATAGGGTGGAGCCAAAGGAAGTGTACAGTTGTTCGTACGAAAGGTAATACAATATTAACAAACAGTGACACCAGGACAAACTGTTTCTTGCACTCACCAGTGTAAACCTACTTTGGCCCCACCCTGTATATTACATGTGATTTTTCTGAACAAACTTGACTTCAACAGGTTGCAGGCAAATTGTAAAACTAAACAGGCTATTGAAAACTTGACCATGTTAACAAATTTGTTAATAAATTTAACAAAGAATAAAAAGTGTAATAAAGAAATAAAGAAATAAATAGTGTATCTATTAAGAAATAGATAAAGAAATAAATAGTGTATCTATTTAAGAAATAAAGAAATAAATAAATAAAGAAATAAATAAAGAAATAAAGAAATAAAAAGTGTATCTATTTTAATGGAAAAATAAAAATTCAACCACAAAGATTGTTCTTTCGGGTCGCCAGCTTTTTCTGTAAAACTTCTTTATAATGCACTGCTCACAAAGTTAAATAAATTTAAAAACTGTCGAAACCAAAGGAAATCTATGGTTTAGTAAAGCAAGTATTCAAGTATTTGTTACATAAAAGCAAAGCATTATCATCGCTACACAGGGATAAAAGTATCAACTGGCCGTTCACTGCCCCTTAAGACACAGCCAGGCACTTACTTCTCCAGCGTCCGGTGGCAGGTTGCAAACAGTGAATGTACTCGGTGAGTCTCCTCTCGAAAGCCTTGAGATCTAGGTAGAAAGATTTCAATTCCTCATTAGCGACTGCTACTCGTGTACATCTATGAAGATGAAACGTGAGATACTCTAACTGCACCAGGTCGTACACACCAACTTCCATGGCTCACTGCACTGCTTACTTTGTTTACTATGACAGCTTTAAGCACTTGACAAAAACATTAGGTTTCTTTGATTCCAATTTCACATATAAAGGAAACTGGCTGGTTCACTTTTAGAAGCTTTCCGTAAAATGGTTTGTGGAAAATCAGCAGCAGCAGCAGCAGCAGCAGCAGCAGCAGCAGCAGCCTCAAGCCGGAGCCAAAGGCTAGAAATTGGGGGGTTGCAAATAAAAGGACCAAAATCAGGTCGAGTTTTAATTCTGTTAGAACGAAGAACTTCCTATTAGAACAACGTATCACCTAACATCCAGGTCTTCGAGGTCTCCTGGAATGCAGTTACCCGATTCCGGTAAGATTAATACTTAATTAATGGCTACGCTCTCCGCCTGGTCTTCCTGGCCATCTGACCTGCTAACGCGCCTTAGGGAAAAGCCGGTCCTCCCCCACCTCCTCCCTCCGAGGGGGCGAGAGGGGATTCTCGGCTCTACCCACGCCCCGACGCCTTCGGAAACTCAGCGGCGTCCGAGGCGCCCGTGCGAACGAGCGCTTTTTAAACTTTAAAAAAGCAGATCGAGAGGCAATCCCTTGCCCCGGTAGTTCCCAGAAACCACGGCAGGAATTAGGGAAACAGCCCACGGGGTGATCGGAATAAGGCGAATTAACGTGCTACCGCGCACGAAGTGCGGACGCCTACGAAAGAGTGAAAAACAGCCCCGAAGTAGAGCTCCAAGGTAGAAACTGTGCGGATTGGGGCAGCGGACGCAACGCCCCGCAGGGTCCGCAGAGGCCACGCGAGCCGCCACTAGCGTCCGGCTCGGTCCGCCTGCCCCTCGGCTCCTGGGGCGGACCCCGCGCCCCCCGAGATCGGGACCACGTCCGTCCACCCACCCAGCGCGGCCTCCAGTCCCCCGGACGGGGTCTCCGCGACTCCCGCCCCTCCGGCTTCCGGGGTGAGCCCGGGACACGCCCGGGCGGCGCACCTACCTTCCGCCTGCTCCAGCGAGTTCATGTCGGCCGGCAGCTCCGGTCACGGACGCGCTCCGGTCCGCATCGCAGCTCCGCGGCCTCCGCCCCGCCCGCAGCGCCAACTCCCGCCCCTAACCGCTCCTCCCGGCCCCTCTCCGTCGCACCGCCCCCTTGTCTAGGTCCGCTACGCTCATAGGGCACCTTTGTCGGACCTCACAACTAAAGCGGTTTCCTATTGGCTAACTTCCGCACTGGCCTCGGGGCCCAGCGTTGGACGGTCAGCCGGAGGCGCCAAGAACCGCCGGCGTCCTGGCTGGTAAGGCGCTAGCGCCGCCGCCTGCGCCGGGGAGGAACTGCAGCCTATCCGACCCAGTTGGCTCATTCCGACGCTCCTAGTTTCCGGCTTGATTCTTTCACTCCTCAAATATTTACCGAGCGCCCACTACCTTCCAAAGGGCAGCGCTCTGATCGCTGGCAACGGATACCGTAATCATCGAGCTCGCCCTCCCTCTAGGACTCAAGGGGAAATATGTGCAAAACCAGCTAGAACCCCAAATAATGGAATCCCTTACTCATAGTACCTCTCTCCTGGATAGCCAACCCTTTAAGCAAGCTTGTCTCCCTTGATCATTTCTTTCTCACGACAACTTTCATAAATCATAAAGGAGGCAAACAAAGCACTCCAATACCTAAACTCTCAAAAAGGCTGTAAGGCATCGACTACATTTATATTCGATTAACACACTCTCTTGCTTATCTCCTTGTGGTCCATTCATTCATGCAACAACTATTTACTGCCTGACGTGGTCGGCGCTGAGTCAGGGATTAGGTACGAGCAAGCCGGGCAACATTCCTGTCCTCAGAGTGGAAGGGTCAAAGTGGAAGGGTTAACAGCAGGCTGTAAGCACGGAACTAGCGGTTCCGATAAGGGCAGTGGTTCTAGGAATTTGGGAACAGGGTAACAGGACAGCGAGATAAAGGGGGGTGGCTCGAGCCAGAGCTCAGAGGGGTGGGGCAGTTTAGTTGAGAACCCCAAGATGTATGAGAAGAAACCAGCCATGCCCAGGTGAGGGCTAAGAAAGTTCCAAGCAACACTTCGGAAAGTTCCCATTTAGGAAGTCTTCCTCGCTCAGGATCCAAAAAACCCTTTTACAGACGGTTATTATCCCATTGAATCCTCTGTGGAGATACATTTTAAACCGTGGGTCAATACCCCCTGAGAGGATTGTGAAATCTATCTAACAAACCATGACTGTTATTTTTTTTTTCATGAACGAAAGCAAAGTAAAAAATATCGGCATCACGGAGAGTCAGCATAAGTACTGTTTCATGATCTTTTCTATCGGTCGCGTGCGTGTCCTTTCTGGTCGTAATGTAAAGCGTACACCTAACTGAGGGTCCTGGAAAAAAAAAAGACAGTTCAAAAGTTTGAAAGCTATCAAGGTAGCTATTAGTAGGCTCGTTGTACAACTGAGAAAAGTAAAAATGAGTTTGCCCAAGTCTTGCAGTGATTGGCGTAGCCTGGGTTTAAGGGGCAAGTAAAGTATCCCCCTGACTTCTTGCTCAGCGTGCCCCGTTCCCGCCGCTCCAAGTCTCCTGCCCCGCGTTTCCCTTTGGCACCCAGCGGGGCTCAGAGAGAGGCTGGCGCACATCTGTGATAGGACGGGCTCTCCCGGGCTCTCTCCTGGGGAGGTGAGGAAGGAGACAGACGGATGAATAGCACACGGCCGAGCACTGTGATATGTGGGAGCTTTGTTAACTTGCCTTCAAAGGAGACAGTTCCGCTTAGGGCTGGGCTTCTGTTTGTCTGATGCAACAACAACAAAAAAAGGGTGGGTGCAAGTTTTAGCAAGAGCCTTGGACAGCAGACGGAAGAATAAGAACCACCACCTGGTTCTCGCTTTCCTTCTTTCCCTTTCAACCATGAGCACATCAGTGTCGAGCAGCCCGTTGAACGGGTGCTTGTAGTTCACCGGGCACCGGCGTCTATGCGTGTGGGTCCTGGGGGCTGGGGGGCGGCAAGGGAGGAGGACAGGGAAATACGGCTGTATGGTCAGAAGAAATGTGGAACCCGAAGACATGGGGAGACCAACGGAGACAGATTTGTGGAAATGTCCTATGAAGGAGGTTTGGCAAGGACAAGGCAGTCAACAAGTATTGCAGGAGTGCATGTTCCAGGCATGGGGATAGGAGCTGAGAATGCAAAAAAAAAAAAAAAATCTTTCACTCTCGTCCTCTGCAAGGGTAGAGTCTGGTGTAAACACAGGAGATTCTTAAAACACCGTGGCGTGATGAAGACCGACTTCAAAGAGGGGTATCCAGAGTGGTGGCTACCGGCCCCAAACCCTGTAGCTGAGGTTGTCACTGTTCCTCTCTCTCTCCAAACTGTGTATCAGGTTAGTTAGCGAGTCCTCCTGCCTCTGCCTCAATGTAGACGGAAAACATTATCACCCCTCGGCACTTCCACTGCTACCGCCCTGGTCCAAGCCACCCTCTAAGCTGGACTTCCTGCAGCTGCCCCCACCCGTCTGCGTCCACCCTTGTCCCAAACAAGGCTTGTGAACACCGAAAGATCGCATTCCTCTTGTGCCCGGAACTTTCCCATGGCTCCTTAAAGTGACGACCACAGTGATGCTCCGTACCATGTTCATCACAGTCATACCTCCCGAAATAATGTTTACTGGTGCTAGGCCTCCCTTCATGCTTTTAAAAGTTACATCTGAAATTTTCATCATGGGTTTGAATACTTGTAGAAGATGGCATTCCTGGCATAGTGCAGATATTGACACTTGGAAAGAAGCGGTTCTATCAACTCTTTTAAATGTATTCAATGGAACCCAAGCACCCTGCCAATTTGACACCCACCATCATCCATTAAAAAAATACATGAATATCTCTATGAACATACACACAAAACCCTAAAAAATATTAGCACATTAAATCCAGCAACATATAAAAAGGATTATACAACATGATGGAGTGTGATGTATCCCAGGAAGGCAAAGTTGGCTTGGCATCAAAAAAAATGAATCAGTGGACTATAGCGGATCCATAGAATAAGAACAAAACCACGTGCTTTGAGGAGGATGTAGCGCAATTGGAACACTTGTCATTGTTAGTGGGGGTGGTGCGGGTCCTGTGGGGCACACTATGACAGTCCCCCCAAATTAAAAATAGAGTTGTCATATGATCTGGCAATTCCACTCCTGGGGATATGCCCCAAATAATCAAAAGCAGGGCCCTGAAGAGACATTTATACACCCATGTTCCTTGCAGCATTATTCACGGTAGCCGAAAGGCAGGTGTCTATCGATGGGTGAGTGGATAAACAGAATGTGATTCACATATACATCATTCAGCCTTGAAAAGGGAGGAAATTCTGACACGCGCCGCCACACGGCTGAGCCTCGAGGACAACATGCTAAATGAAATAAGCCAGAGACGAAAGGACACGCACTGCATGATTACACTCACAGGAGGCACCCGGACCGGTCAAATCATAGAAACAGAAAGTGGAATCGCGGCTGCCAGGGCCAGGGGTGGGGCTGGGTGTGACCGTTTCCCGGGGACAGTTTCGTTTTGCTGAGAGACGACAAGAGCTGTGGAGGCGCGTGGTCAGCACCCGACTGCCACTGAACTGTGCGCTTAACAGCGGCTGAGGTGGTAACATCGTGTGTATCTCATCGAGATTTTTAAATGTTTTAAACATTGCATGATAATCCCTGGCCAGTGTGGCTCACATGGTTGGAGTGTCTTTCTGTAAACCAAAAGGTCACGGTTTTGAATTCCGGTCAGGGTACATGGCTAGGCTGCAGGTTCGATCCCCAGGTCGGGCGCATACGAGAAACAACCGATGGATGATGGATATTTCTCTCCTTCTCACTCTCCCTCTCTTCCTTCTCTCTAAAATCAGTAAGAACGCCCTCGGGTGAGGGTAAGAAAAATTGTATGATAACCTCTCATTAAAAATATCTTTACTGCTCTCCCACTAGATGAGGTCCTCCTCAGTTCTGTGGGCATGTCCCCTCTGCCACAAGGGTTCTCGCTCGGTCCTGAGATCCTGAGACCCTCGCCTTGGCAGCTCCTGAAAAATACATCAGAAAGGCTTTATCGAGACTTATCAGTATGAACTAATGTGACCTGGTCCTCCTCCACTCAGAGATAATTTCTTTAGCCCAGCATGCTCAGAAACAATTGGGGAAATCGAAATGTTGGTAATTAAATGAACCTTTCCCAATACTTTTTGAAAAATAAAAACGCCTTTTATCTTATGATGTACCTCAAATATACAGTATTTTCACCAAAAGCCAGAAGGAGCTGATTCAGTTCATTTGGTCTGTAGACACTTCTCCGCCTACTTTCACCCGCAGAGCCGGTCTTTGTTTTCAAACTACAGTGAGCACTTCTGTTAGAGACCTTGTGTCGACGCAATTCCCCTTGAAAGCCAACTGGTGCCCAAATTGCGTGTATCCAAAGCAGTGCTACACTTTTTTTTTTTTTTTTGTAAATTGATGTGAGAGAGAGAGAGAGAGAGAGAGAGAGAGACATCGATTTGTTGTTCCACTATTTAAGCACTCATTGGCTGATTCTTGGATGTGCTCTGATCGGGGATCGAACCGGCACCGCTGGCCTAGGCGGACGACGCTCTAACCGGCTGAGCCGGTCAGCCATTCTTACGAAAACTCTGGACGAGAGGAGACAATCAAGGGTGCAGAGTGGGTTTAAAGTGACTCCGCGTCTCCTTTCCACGCCTGCCCCGGCTCACAGCGTCACGGGGGTGTTGTCCACCCCTGCAGCCGGCCTCACGAAGCCAGCTTTGCGGGATCGCGGGTTTTCGTTCTGCTTTCGAGGAGCCGGCAGCCTGAAGGTGAGCGTCGTTTCTGAAACTTGAGGCTCCGTGTTACATCTGGGTGTGTTTATGTGTGTGTGTACCGGGAAGCGATCTAAAACATATTGCAACTGTGGGTGGTAGTAGAAAAAAAATTCAAAAGCCTTGGATTTGCTGTTGCCTTCCTCTCCTAGAACTTAAGCTGGCGGGCACAGAATTTTTTTGTCTTTGCTTTATCCCCAGTGTTTAACCAGTTTCTGGCACACACGTATTTGTTGCATGAAAGAATGAATAATTGAAAAAATGACAAGGAAAAGGA